GGTCTTCGCGAGAGTGCATCTGCTGCGCGATTTGAGAGGCCGGGCAGATGTTTCGGTGTGAAGTCAAATTGGTCGATGAAGTACATCCATCGTCCAATCGTGCTGCTCACCGTATCCTGCGTCTTGTAGTAAGTCAATGGATTGTTGTCCGTGACCCATGTGAACCTACGACGCCCAAGGAGGAAGTGCCACCATCGCTTGAGAGCCATGACGAATGCGAGCAGCTCCTTCTTCCTTGCATCATCAAGCGAGTTGATGGGAGGCACTTTGTGGCTAAAATACTCCACAGTGTGCCGGTCATCGCCGTCGTGCTGTTCCAAGACTGCCCCAATGCCATAGCCGGAAGCGTACGTAGTCACTCGCGTCGGCAGGGTGGGGTCATARATGCTAAGGACGGGTGCCATGAGCATAGCAGTCTTAAGTGCTTGGAATGACCGGCGTGCGGCATCATCGAATACAAATGGCACCTTTGGCGACTGTAACCTCGTCATAGTGCAGCAATCCTGGAGTATCCGGTGATGAATCGCTGATAGTAGCCCGCCAATCCCATGAATGAACGAACGTCCGTGGTGTTGGTGGGCTCGGGCCATACTCGTAGGGCCTCGATCTTGTCCGCAAGTGGACGGATCCCTTGCGGCGTCATATAGTGTCCCAAGTATTCCAGCTCCTGCTGTGCGAACTCGCACTTGTCGCGGTTTGCTTTGTACTTGGCTTGTCGTAGCCGCTCCAAAACGGTGCGCAGGTGTTCCGCATGCTCATCCAAACTCCGACTATACACCAAGATGTCGCGAGGTAGATGAGTACAAACCGATCCAGCATGTGTCGGAACTCCGTTGTCATAGCCGCTTGGAAAGTGGCTGGGGCATTTGTAAGGCCAAACGACATGACCAGGCATTCGAAATGCCCATACCGTGTCTTAAACGCGGTCTTGTAGTGATCCTCCTTGCGAATCTCGAGTTGGTGGTACCCTGACTTGAGATCCAGCTTAGAGAAGAACTGGGCGCTGCCCAATCGCTTGAGAAGGTCGTCGATGCGTGGGAGAGGGCCGGCGTTCCTGATCGTCTGCGCGTTGAGCTTGCGATAATCGATGCACAACCGCAGGTCCTTGTTCTTCTTCCGGACGAAGAGGACAGGCGCACCGTATGGCGATGAGCTAGGCCGAATCCAACCTTTCTCTAGAAGATCGTCGAGTTGTGCACGGAGCACACTTAACTCTTCCTCGCTCATTCGGTAGATGCAGCCGCGCGGAGGTACGGCCCCGTCCTCGAGGATGATCTCGTGGCGGATGGGCTGATCCGGTACTACTCCGTGCGGGCCTTCGAACACGTCGCTATAGGCATCGAGAAGTTCGGTGATGCGTGGATCCGAAGGTGAGTCCGTCGATGAAGCGTCATGTGGCGGGAGGGCGTGGAGAAAACACACCCCCAT